CAATGCTGAGATTCCACTCCATGTGCGCCGGGACTAGCTGTCATGTCCTTTCCCCCTCAGTGCTTCACCAACATTTGCCCATTGGCTATCGAGGACAACGCCATCTTTGTGTCATAGAAAATGTTTTGTTTTAAAGCAGGGATGCACCGATATATCGGCTAACGAAACATATCGGCCGAAAATGGCAATTTTCTGGCCGATACAGCGGCACATCCTATTCTCTCCTCCCCAATAAAAAATACAAATATTTAATAAAAAATGAATTAATAAATAAAAATAAATATAAAAACATTTAAAAGTGTATAAAAAATAAAATATTTTAAAAAATTGAAAAAGTTAAAAAAAAAACCATTTTCGGTTTTGGTTTCGGCCTGACTTTTTTTTATTTCAGTTTCATTTCGGTTTTGCACCTCTGTTTTAAAGTGAAACTTCAGACAAAACCTATTTTGATACAGTTTGGAAGGCTTAGAGCCTCTGCTATTGGGATGGTTTCTCCTCACTTCCTATCCCAGATTGAGTTGTCAGGAAGCGAGGGGAAATGTAACAGGAACACCTACCCCAGGGACTTTACCTCACTTTCTGTTGTCCCTTTGGAACATGAAGTATTCGGAAAAGCTCCCAAATGGGGATTTGGGTAGCCAAAAGGTTAATCAGATTAAGTCTTGCTGTCTGTATGTTGCCGACTAGATTTTATTTCCTGTCCTGTAGACGCAACAGGAAGTAGTAAGAGATCCCACCAAAGTGAGGGGAATTCCCGTCTTAGGCTTCCCCACCAGAATGTTTGCCCCCATTGGAAGATTTCCCCTCCATTCCTGATCTCCTGACACTCAACATTTTGGATTTCCCATCGCTGGGCAAATGGAAGGGGTGAATGTCCCCACAGGAGAGACGGACAGTAATAAAAACATGGCAGAGGGTCTAACGCTTCACTACTGCATCCAAAACGAAAAGAAACATTTTCATTGCGGTCACAGCTTGATGATTCAGAAGCTTCTCACTTTTCCAGGGAAACCAACCTGAAGGTGAAGCAGTCGCTGACCATAACGGGGGACATGGGGGAAGACCTCAACCAGCTGTCAGAGTTTGATGGTAGGTGAAGTAATAAGAAGTTTATACTACAAATGAAAGTTTACGGCTTCGTCCAGACAAAAGTTGGAGCTCTAGACCAGCCTTTCAAATTCAGTAGACTTGCCTTAAAGAGAACCTGTCACGTCTCCCATTCAGAGCAAAGTAATAGGGTCTCTCATAAGAGCAGGTCCCCATCTGTTTATACTCACCTTCTCTGTGCTCCCTCACCAGTCCATTGCTGCTTCTGAGCCCTCAGTAAATATCTGTCTCTTCTGGGTATGGAGGAGCATGTGACCACCCCCAGGATGCAGTCCTTCGACACGAGCAGCCAAGCCTGACCGCATGAGGAGGACATGGTTAACCATTTGAAAGCTCCAACACCACCAACAGGGAGCTTACTCGGGGTTTGGAATCCTGCTTCTGGTGGACAAATGGAGTGGTGGAGGTGTGCAAACAAGATGCGTAGCAGCAGGTGGAGGTTACATAGTTACATAGTTACATAGTATTTGAGGTTGAATAAAGACATTAGTCCATCAAGTCCAACCTATTAGGATCTCATTCTAGGAGTACCTGTACCCCTGTATATTACCTGTACCCCTGTATATTACCTGTACCCCTGTATGTTACCTGTACCCCTGTATGTTACCTGTACCCCTGTATATTACCTGTACCCCTGTATATTACGGTCCCTTAAGAAATCGTCCAAAAGTTTCTTGAACAATTCCACATTATTTGCTGAAATCACCGCCTGTGGCAGTGAGTTCCAGACCCTAACTGATCTTACTGTGAAGAACCCCCTTCGCCCCTTGTGCTGGAATTTTTTTTCCACCAATTTTAGGTGATGGCCTCTAGTTTTTGTAACGGAGTTAATTTTAAACAGTTTATCGCTAATGTTGCTACCACCATTAAACATTTTGTACATGGAAATCATATCCCCCCTTAATCTCCTCACCTCTAATGTGAACATGTTTAAATTTAGTAGCCTTGTCTCGTAGCTCTGGTCCTCCATACCCCTAATTAGTTTGGTTGCCCTTCGCTGGACTTTTTCCAACTCAAGGACATCTTTTCTTAGTACTGGTGACCAGAACTGGACCGCGTACTCCAGATGAGGTCGAACCAATGATCTATAAAGTGGCAAAATTATAGACTTGTCCCTGCAATACATCCCCTTTTTAATACAGGACAAGACCCTGCTAGCTTTGTTTACAGCAGCCTGGCACTGCAAACTACCTTTCAGTTTGTGGTCTACAATGACCCCCAAATCCTTCTCCATTTCTGACTTCCCCAGCGGCATACCCATAATTGTATAACCCATTTGTTTATTTTTAATTCCAAAGTGCATTACTTTGCATTTATCGACATTAAACCTCATCTGCCACATTAATGCCCACTCCCCTATTTTATCCAGGTCCTCCTGTAATGTTATAGTGTCTAAGTCCGTGTCTATTACCCTCCCTATTTTGGTGTCATCCGAAAACACGGAAATATCGCTGTTAACACCCTCCCCGATGTCATTAATAAATAAGTTGAACAATATGGGACCCAGCACAGAACCCTGATGGACAAATGGACAAAGTGACGAAATACCCTTTAACTGCCTTACTAAAAGAGAAAAACAATTGTGTACAGAGCTCAACAGCTCAATCTGAAATGTACACACTCAACGACATAAGTCAGAGCAGTGACTCCACCACCCTCCCATTTCCTGCTGTGTTACATTGGCTCCGAATGACGTTTCGATGAGAGACAGAGTGTGGGAAGGCAAACCGCTCCTGCTTTCTCCTTAGATAGCCCATAGTGCTCTGGGAATACTGTGTTATAGGCACACCCTGAATGTTTATTTCTAACACAAAGATTTTATATATAAAGTAGGGATGCACCAATGGTGATACTAGTATCAGTGCCGATACCGAGTATTTGGGCGAGTACTCGTACTCGGCCAAATGCTCCTACATTTATCCCGTAACCAGAACTTTCGATCAGAGGGAGATTTCCTCTGACCGACAGTCCCGTGAGGGAACATGGTGCCAGCTTCCCGGCCAATCAGGAAGCTGGGCCGAGGGTAATGACTCACAGCCCGGCTTCCTGATTGGCCGGGAAGCCGGCTCCATGCTGTTTGGCCGGGAAGCCCGCTTCTCAGCCCATCAGCATTAAGCCAGCCAAACAGCATGAAGTCGGCTTCCAGGCCAATCAGGAAGCTGTTCCGCGGGTAATGACCCACCTCCCGGCTTCCTGATTGGCCCAGGAAGTCAGCTCCATGCTGATTGGTAGGGAAGCCGGCTTTCTGGCCAATCAGCATCGAGCCGGCCAATCAGGAAGTCGGGCAGCAGGAAATGACCCACCTCACGGCTTCCTAAATGGCTGTGAAGCTGGCTCCATGCTACCGGAAGTATCGGTACTCGGTATCGGAGAGTACCGAAATATATATATATATCGATACTCGTACTCGATAACGGAAAAACGGTATTGGTGCATCCCTAAAAAATAGTAATAACTTAAATAAGCAAAATAAAGTCTAAGGGTCAACACACATTACAATCTGGCTGTACAATCTCTGTACAATCAACTTTAGGTCTACCAAATCTATGTAATATGAGGATCTACTCAATCTATCCAATCAATCTGTATACAATGAGGTAGGCCCTTGTTGGTAGATCTAAAGGAGATTGTACAATCAGATTGTAAGGTGTGTGATGAGTCTAAGGCCTCACATTGCACAGCACAGATAGAAGGGTAACACCACTTTCTCGTTTGGAGTTGAGGAATGGTCAGCTCCCTGCCCCCAGCCTAGTGATTGGATACTAAAATAGCAGCAGCACTCTCTTTCTGCCAGCAGCCAGCATGCTGCTAGTGTTGGCCCTCCCTCTTCCAGGGATGCTGGGTCAGGAGGCTGATATCTGGACAGAATCGGGTACTTATGCTAGCTGTATGTAAAAATGCATTTAAGTGCTATTAGAGGAGCACACAGCTGCGTCTTCTCCTGACTGGCGTTCAGCTTTATTAAAACTGTATAGATATCCATTAAAATTTTAGATTATTTTGTACCTTCAACCTCAGAAATGAAAGACTTTCCGCCCCTTTTCTCTGCAGGTGAAGTAGCGTGCGAGGCCCCCAATAACCGATTGGACACATTCACCGGAACGCTGACCTACCAGGAAGAGAAATACGCTTTGGACAATGGCAAGATCCTTCTACGCGGCTGCACGATCAGGAACACGGAGTGGTGCTTTGGGATGGTCATCTTTGCGGGTCAGTAGGGTTGTGATCATTAGAGGTCCTCTTTAGAGGTGGTATAGGATTACCTCTCTGTCCATGAGTACTCAGTACATCATCGTCTTATCATTCCCCAGGTCCGGACACTAAGCTGATGCAGAACAGCGGCCGCACCACCCTGAAGAGGACCAGTATAGACCGTCTCATGAATATTTTGGTGCTATGGGTAGGTGTCATGGGCGCAGAATTGTTTGGAATTGGGGGCTTTTGCCTCCATCAAGGCGTGATGGGGCTCATGGAGGGAGGTTCATTTATAATTTTCAGTTCTACACCTTCTGCACAGACAATTCTCTTTTTTAGGGTGCACCTCCTCTTTCTTCTTCCAACACCATCTTGCTCCCAGGCCTTAGTAAGGCGTCTATGCATTCAGTAGTCCTTACCATATCTGTGTAACTTCTCAGTTTATTTTTGCATCAATTCTTTAAACTAGTGGAAATTTGAATGCAATGTACTACCCGGGCCAGATTTACCATCAGGCACAGTAGTCCATAGCAACCAGTCAGCATCTCTCTTCAGTTTGCTCAGGTAAGATTTGAAAATGAGACAGAGTAGCTGATTGGCTGCAGTGCAAATCTGCTCCAGATTCTTTTTTTTTTTTTTTTGTTCAATAGATTTGTATTGGCATATAAAAGTAATAAAGCAAAGCAGATTGTATCCATGTCGGGTGGTGGACTGAGGAGTACAGACAATCAATGATGTTATCAAGTATTGGTTAATAAAATAACATAATCGTTATATACATTGCAGTGTACAGTTGTTGTTGTTGATCAACAGTTGTGGCCCACCACCTGGTGGATGTATGAGCCAGTCCAGCGGAACAGACTTGCGTTAGCCAAGGTTTTGGAGAGGCTTAGTAGTAAAGTAGAGAGAAAGGGGTGGGGGGTTAGGTTGGGGAGGACTGTTGTACAGTCTGAGTGGAGGGAGATAGTTATAAAAAAAGGATAAGAGGGGGAAGAAGAAAATATAAAAAGAAGATGGGGGGGGGGGGG